GTCACCTGCAGCCCCCCCACTTTGGGTTTAAATCAACCCCATTCCTTCCCCATCCCTCCAGATGAAGTGGGACAGCAGGACACTGCTCCGTGTCACTGCGGGTGACACCGTCACTGGGTGAGCAGCTCCAGAGGCCTGGCTCGACCCTGGTTTTAAGCAGCTCCAAGCCTCACCTGGATGAGGCCATAATCCCCCAATATCCCCTTTATCCCCCCCCCCAGCAGCCATTTCTTTGCCCTCAGCGCTTTGCACTCCCTAAGGAGGACCCCACAGCTTGACAAGAGGGCAAGGGGGGATCCTTGCTTCCCTATGGGGTGGAAAAAATCAATCCAATTTGGGCCCGGGGGAGGCCGTACCTCAAGCATGACGACGCAGATCTGTTTGACGCACTCGATGATGGACTGTGGGATCCCAGCGATGGTGATGGCTCGCTCGGTGGAGTTGGGCAGCATGTCCCCTGCCACCTGGACCTGCGCCCCCGTGCTCTGCAAAGTGTCAAGGGGGTAAAAATAACCCGGTCAGGACGGCGGCGAGGGCCCCGTGACCTCAGCAACGAACACCGCGCGCCTGGGTTATACATAGCCCAAAGTTGTGTCGTGTCTCCCCCTCCTCCTCCTTTCCTCCCCCACCAAAATAAAGTCCTCTAATCCTAGCTGGGAATAATTCAGGCATTGGGAGCCCGAGGCAGGAGAGGAAGAGCTGGGTGCAGCCTTTCCCTGTAACCCAAGTCAAGGCCGTCCCCGCAGCCAGGAGCCAGCGGAGTTAATCCCCGGCAGCGCCCGCTGCTAAGTGGCATTACCGAGGGCCTGGCAGCGTGTTCACTCCCCTAAAACAAGTGGGAAAATGCCCAGGAGGGGGAGAATTTGAGAGCCTGGGGAAGGGGGGAGCAGTGGGAATGGGGGACGGTGCTGGGAAGGGGAGGATCTGTCCCAAGTCTCATCTTCATAAGCACAAGGAGCTCCAAGAAAGGGGATGGTCCAGGGAAGGGGAGGGTTTGCCCCAAATCTCATCTTCATAAGCACAAGGAGCTCCAAGAAAGGGGATGGTCCAGGGAAGGGGAGGGTTTGCCCCAAATCTCATCTTCATAAGCACAAGGAGCTCCAAGAAAGGGGATGGTCCAGGGAAGGGGAGGGTTTGCCCCAAATCTCATCTTCATAAGCACATGGAGCTCTAAGAAAGGGGATGGTGATGAGGAGGGGAGGGGTCTACCCCAAATCTCAGTTTCCTAAGCACAGGGAGCTCTAACAAAGGGGATGGTGCTGGGGTGGGTCTGCCTCAAATCCCAGCTTCATAACCACAAGGAGCTCTAAGAAAGGGGACGGTGCTGAGAAGGGGAGGGTCTGCCTCAAATCTCATCTTCAAAAGCACTAAAAACACAAGAAGCAATAAGAAAGGGGATGGTGCTGGGAAGGGGAGGGGTCTACTCCAAATCTCAGCTTCATAAGCACAAGGAGCTCCAAGAAAGGGGATGGTCCAGGGAAGGGGAGGGGTCTACCCCAAATCTCAGTTTCCTAAGCACAAGGAGCTATAAGAAAGAGGATGGTTCAGGGAAGGGGAGGGTCTGCCCTAAGTCTCATCTTCATAACCACAAGGAGCTCCAAGAAAGGGGATGGTGCTGAGAAGGGGAGGGTCTGCCCCAAAATCTCATCTTCACAAGCACAAGGAGCTCTGAGAAAGGGGATGGTGCTGGGGAAGGTCCACCTCAAATCTCATCTTCATAAGCACAAGGAGCTCTAAGAACGGGGATGGTCCAGGGAAGGGGAGGGTCTGCCCCAAGTCTCAGCTTCATAAGCACAAGGGGCTCTAAAACAGGGGATGGTGCTGGGGAGGGGAGGGGTCTACCCCAAATCTCAGTTTCCTAAGCACAGGGAGCTCTAAGAAAGGGGATGGTGCTGGGAAGCGGAGGGTCTGCCCCAAATCTCAGCTTCATAACCACAAGGACCTTCAAGAAAGGGGATGGTGATGGGGAGGGGAGGGTCTGCCCCAAATCTGTTTCTTAAGCACAGGGAGTTCTAAGAAAGGGGATGGTGCTGGGGAAGGTCCACCTCAAATCTCATCTTCATAAGCACAAGGAGCTCTAAGAAAGGGGATGGTGTCAGGGTGGGTCTGCCCCAAATCCCAGCTTCATAAGCACAAGGAGCTCTAAGAAAGGGGAGCAATGCCACATCTCTACTGCATGGACCAACCCAAGGTGGGAGCAGATGCAAGGATTTGGGTACCCAGACCCCATTTGGGGTGGTCACCACGCACCTCTCGGATCTCCTTGATCTTGCAGCCTCCTTTCCCGATGAGGGAGCCGCACTGGCTGGCGGGGGGCCCCCGGCCCCCCAGGAGCCGCAGGGTGACCGGGGGCCGGCTGGCAGCTGTGCTGTTGGTCATGGAGCTGCTGATGTCCTGCGAGGAAGAGGAGGCGCTCAGAGGGGGCAGCCTGAAATGGCACACGGGGAGGGGACGCGCCCGGCCGGGGGACGGTGACGTTGTGACGCTGGCACGGGCACACCAAGGTGACCCTGGGGCTCTCCCGGGGCTTTGTCAGCGCAGAAAACACACAGCTATGTTTTGGAGAAGGGGGAAGAAGCCAAAATCCGTTGTCTCAAGGAAAACGGGGGTTTAATGTGCCCAGTGCAGAAGCTACAGCACAGCAGAATGGGAATTGGCTGCGGTGGCGCTGGAGGGGGACGAGGTTTCGGGGGAGCTTGGTGCGCCCACAGCTCCCAGTTCAGCGCAGAGGCTCCAGTTGTAAGAGGGGACGGGAGCAGCAGCGGCTCCAGGGAAAACACAAACCCCGGCGCCGATTACGCGGTCATGTGCTGGCAGGGGGAGGGGAAGCACAAGGCCGGGGCTTGAGTGACCTACTAAAATCAAAGCTCCAACGCCAGGCGCTGGCAGCCGGAGCCGCGCTTGGATGGGGAGCCCTGAGGACTCCAGAGCTCAGGGTATGGCACAAACAGCTCCAGGCTCTGCAGCAGTGAGAGCTGAGGGGCCTCGGGGACAGATCTGCCAGCTTTGGGGCATCTCCTCCCATAAACGATCCCAAATCCAAAGGGCAGTGGGATTTTTAGCCCCACAGGAGAGGCGAGAGCCATGGAAAGCTCCTCGCAGTCAGGATCTGGGTTATCGAGGATCAACACCCCCCCCCCCA